TCGGCATAACTATAAGGGTGTGGTATGTGGTAACAGAGGGAACAAGCAACCCAGGGTGAAGAGAACAGGAACTGCTTTTAACCAGCTCTGCTGCTAGGTGTGGATGCCCTCCCTTAATTTGGTTCTTGGGTATGTTAACAAAGATGTTAATGTCCTGCTTAGTTCCACTGGACTCACTGGATTTGGTTCACTAGATGAATCAAAGGAAGGGATAAACTATTCTCCAGGACACTGCGTGAGGTCTTTCTCCTGTTTCCAGCATTCCCACAGGAATTCAAAATGGTTGTTTGGCTTGGTTTATCCCTTTAAGTCTTAACATGTTATTCCATGTTCATATTTTTGATTCCTTTCCATACTAAGAGTAAATAAGGAAAAATGAAATGTGATGACAGATATAATGTTTAGCTTCTACTATTAGAGGCAGAATATTTTGTGGAATAGATCAGGATATTAGTCAGGTAACAGTAAAAGGTAGGTTTTAATCTCTCTAGAAAATACTGGTAAAAAAGTACATCTAAACCTGGCATTATCTCATTAGATCTCTTCATTGATGAAAACCAATAAAAATTGTAGTCTGATGTAAGCTGCATGTACATGGGACAGTCTAACTCATTGATTGCCTCTTTCCCTACAAGATTCCTGATTTATTTAAAACAATAAAAAATACAGATTTTTTTTTCCTGTCTTTTGGGGAGGAGTGCTCTCTCCTGAATTCTTTGGGTGGTTACTCACCGAGGGGCCAAGCACTAGGTACCTCCTTTAAAGCTGTCTATTTTTAAGGTACTTACTAACTTAGGACTACCCTTCATCTATGTACCTTACACCTGATAGTAATGAGAGCCAGCTTAAATCACATGCCACTTGCACTGGGATAGGAAGTCATGCTGAATTACAGTTAACATCTGGTGTGTTCAGGAGACATCTGGTGATCCCCTTCTGAGTGATCAGAAAGTATTTCAGGGAAAAGTTTAAAGTGTTGTTTCACTTAACATGTTGTTTCCAGAGCAAGTTGTATCTACCTAGTGTGGGTCTGTGTGTGAGCTCGGTAGTGGTGTTGATCATTGCTGGTCTTTGCAGTCCAGGTTTCAGGCTGTTGTACAAATAGAGAGTGGTTTTCTTTCCTGGGCCTTAATATACTTCCTTTGAGATTTCATCTCTGTTCTTATCAGAAAAGGTAACCAAACTTTGTATTATCAACTTTGCTTTGTTTTGCTTCCTTTATGACTAATTAGCCTAGTTTCTAAATTAGTTCCCAAAGGAAGCGAGGTTTATATGATTGCACTGTCCAGCTGTTGTTCTGTTTAGGGCCTATTGGCTAACTTCCATCAGATTTGGCAGGGTAATGAGTGCTTCATGCAGAAATGCTGCTTTTCTACACGTTTATAGAGGCTGAGAATGGGGTTGAGAGACAAAACTAGTGCATGGGATCGAGGCAGTCTTGATTGTGAGCTCCCATGCTCATCTTTTGGCTCCTGGAGCTGGCTGATGCGTGCACTCATACAGATGTGGTGGTTAGCAAGTTCTCAGAAAGAGCTTTAGGGCAACCTGTTGTTTCACTAAGTGGTAACTGAGGCTCTAGGTAGGAACTAAGGATCATGAAGGGAGAGACGGGGTGTGGAGATGAATGCCAAAAAATGAGATTAATCCTTTACGGATTGTAGCAAACACGAAAGAGGAATGCCTGTGGCTGTCTGTCCTCTGTGCAGAGAGTAAGACAGAAACCAGAAGTCATCATAAGAATTTCTCTTTCCAAGTCACTAACATCAGTGGAACTCTTTTGTTATATACATCTGGTGTGTGCATTGATTTTTTCCTTTGTAATAACTTTCAGGCTGAGATCTACAAGGGCAGACTTTTTGGAGGCTGTTGCTTTAAGTTTTATCGTGCTGTTTTGACAGGCTTTCCTTTTGGGGCCAAGATGCCAGTCTTTAACAACAGAGGCACTTCTGGCACTTGATAAATACTGCTTTTAGAAGTGACTGCAAAGATAGTGTAATGACAAGCAGAGTAGAAATGGAAAAACATGAAGATAAAATTTCTCTTATAACATTTGTTTCTTGGTTTCCTGACTAACTATTCTATGATTCTATGGTTCTATTCTATGACTTAAAGTACCTGCTTATAGTCAGAGGTGTCTATCATAGGGAAAGTGCTGAGAGTGATAGGGTCCATCAGACACCTGCATTTTGAGCTGTTAACAGGAGGAGGGGACAAGGAGAAATAGGATGCATTATGTACCTGTTCTTAAGCAATAGGATTGACTGCACTTGCTTTTCTTAACCTTAAGATGGGTAATAACCTTCTTGGAGGCTATAGTGGGTTTTCTATTAAATATTTTGGGTACAAGGCTCATTTATGAGCAATCTGTATTTAAAGAGGCTCAGAAGTTGTATTTTTTAAATTAGACAACTGTCTTCTAGTTCATCAACTTCAGCTTCTGTTGTTCCATAATAAAATTGTTAAAACAGTTGTTCAGATTGTGTAATCAGTTGAGGAACATCATTTAAACCTCCCAAGTGTGATCACTAGTGATGCCAGTACTCTCCCATTTGCATAAGCAAGTACATTCTTTTATTATCTTAATAGTTACTCTTCTATCGTCCAAATATATATATAATCTCACAGATTGTTTATCTTTGCTTGTCATGAATGTGCAATCTCTGATAATACATGCGAAGTGTGTTTGAGCTCTCCTGATCCTTGCCATGTATGGCACAATAAACTGCCCAAATTTGGTCAAATATTTTTAGCCACTTAGTCATATGTCTTTTAATGAGCTGCATATGTAAGCCTTTGATTCACTTAGCAACTGTATTTTTATGAGTATGTCTTGCCACTTTTTCTTATGTATACTTGAAAAATGGGTAAGGTCTGTTCTGTTTTGGGGTATGTCACAACCAGATGGTTTGGTTGTTTTTTTTTTTGTTGTTGTTTTTAATAGTGCTAATAAATTTTAAGATACCCTTTTTCACAGATTATGAATTTTAATTATTTTACAATATACAAGTACGCAGAATATTGAATGTTAGATTAATCTATACTTTTAAGTGCTCGGGCAGTTTCAAAGCTTTCTGATACATTTTCCTTATAATAAGCTTGTGGACATTAAGATATACATAGAATATCAATGGTCAGCCAAATTGGATATCAAGAAAACTGTATATATGGCATGTGTGAAATATGGCTAGGTTAGTATTTCTGCTAAGTGCAAAAAGCTGTGTTTCTTGAATTTGTTTTCCTTCTGAACTGAGTTATGATGTCTTGCATTTAGTTCCTTCACATTTAAGTAACAAAATGTGTTGCAAAGTGAGGTGATTCTTTTCTTTCCAAGCTTGTTGAGAGCATATATACATTATACACTGATGATCAGTGGAAGAAATTTAAGACAGTATGCTTGAGGAATTTCTAGTCTTTATTCCTGGAGTATGTTAGTAAATTATTTTATTGGAAGAACTGCTGGTTTTAGGGGTGGATGTGACTAAAAAGATAATTCCAAAAATCCTCTAAGAAGGGAGTTTTCAAGAATACCTGAAAAGGTAATAAGGTTTATGAGTATTTTCACTCACAAATGTTTTTTGCTTTTAATTGAAAAACAAATGATGCAAGCAGTGTACTGCAGTCTAGTTGCAGTCTAGCTGCAAGCTTATGGATGAACAAGTCTGAATGAGACTTGGTGTTAAAACAATTCTGTGTTGCATTCTAAACAAAGTGTTGAGTTCATACTTAACTAAAGCAAATGGGGTCAAAGAGGGGTAATCTGCTGCTAGTTTTGTTTGGCTCGTTAAACAGAGCAGCAGCATGCTCCTTACAGTGTAGCTGTTGCCTCTGCGCTAAATAATGGAGGAAAGCTTTGAGATTCATTTTGGAAGGCACAGTTACTTAAGTAAGGAAATCTGAGGGGTTTTGCCATAATAAAGCAGTATATAATTTTCAGTCTTTATTGCTGTAGAAGTATTCTGAAAAGTAAAGTTTATAAATTAATTGCATTTAATTACAGGCATAATTCTCTGGAAGGGTTTAGCAGCCCAGCAGTAAAAGTTCTCATTTCAGTCTTCTGGTTATGCAGTATTGTTGATTTATTAAGCTAAAAAATTAATACCAGTCTTGTGGGGTCTGGCTGTATTGAGTCCTCTCTGTCCTGAAATGCAGAAGGACTTGTCTCTCTATTGCTCTGCCCTTTTAAGGGCAGCAGTATGGAAGTTGGCAAGAAAAGTAACTGAGCACCCTGTGAGAAAAATACTCAAACACAGACAAGAAAGGAGCCAGTCAGGATGGTGTTCTGGAGAACGGCAGTGGTTCTGCATCTGGGCAACACTATTTGCTTGGTAATTAAGAGATGTGAACATATGATAATATTTTTTGCAGTGTGCCAAATTGATGCTGAAGTTTAAGTTTATAAACAGCAGTGATTAATAGACTGTTAAAAGATGTATGGTGGTATAGAATATGCTACAGTAGAACACAGCAGGGGGGGTATTGAAATGCAACATAGCATCCTCTTCCATACTCCTTAATCTCAACTGCTTTATAATTAAAACCATGTTGTGGTATTTTTTTTCCAAACTGCTCCCCGTCTCTTGGTCACAACTTCATGATGTAGCGGTTGTTTCAATCAATTGTAGTATCCAGTCAGGTGACTAAGCTGGGCCTGGGATGAAGCGAGGGCCTGGGGGCTTTATAAATGGAACCACTTCATGTTGGAGAACAAGGTTGCAGTGGGGATTGTAAGTGGCTTCTCAGAAAACCAGAAAAAATGTAGCTGAGGAAACCATATTTGCTGGTTTTGTTAAACTCTGTGTGAATTCATTCATTTATTTAAGGATTTTTTTACAAATCTGTGACACCTGCTGCTTTTCTCTCAAATTCTTCCCGTCAAGCCTCAACAAATAAATCTTAATCCCTCATCAGACCTTTTCTCCTGAAGATGTTGCTTAAAGATGCAAAGTATTGTAGAATAGCTTTAATATGAACTTATCTCTTAAATCTTTCTTTCTTTATAGGCTTGTATAGATGATAACGTAGATATGGTGAAATTTCTGGTGGAAAATGGAGCAAATATTAATCAACCAGATAATGAAGGCTGGATACCTCTACATGCAGCTGCTTCCTGTGGATATCTTGATATAGCAGAGTAAGACTTTTTCCTCCATTTTTGAATACATGCATTTTGTTCATTGTTAGAGGGGCACTAGAAGCAGATGACATTCATAAATTGTCTTTTTAGTTGTTTCTGTGATGTGTAGTGAGAGAATGCTTTTATATTGTGTGTTGGTTGTGAAATGTGCTGTGTGCATGATTATTTGTGCATTACATTTGCTCTTTCTAGCTTTCCTAGGTAGCTGTAAGATGTAAACATTTAAAACTATTCATGACTGTCAAGTGGGTTTTTTTTTTAAGTATTATTTTCTCCTGTAGAAACATCATTTTGGAGCGAGAAAGTTCAGATTTACATTTTATTAGTAGTCTGAAACATTATTCCAGGATAAGTCTAAATGTAGGAGATTAATTGTATTTGCAGTCTTAAAACCTTTGTTTTTCAGGTGTGATATGAATTGGTGACTTTTGCTCATTATTTGCTGTGGAGCAAAATTTTATCATTGAAATTAGATGTCTGTTATGGCATTAGTTAAAGCTTACTCAGTACTAAACTCCAGTAGTGGTTTTGTTATTATTCTTGAAGCCTGTCGAGAGCCATTGAAAATATGCTAAAATCATTTTTTTTCCCAGAGGTTGTCTGTTTTAACCTGAAGTAACGGTTGATTTGAAAAAATATGTGGCATAGGTTTTTCAGTATGCTGTTCTTACAGTAAAGATGGTAATAGTGTCTTTCTAAAGACATTTTGGGTAAACACAAACTTCATTAATTCTGCTAAACTCAGCGTGATGTCTGATCCAGTTTGAGAGTTTGATAAAATATGAAGTAGTATTTTGTCATGTAATTGCATTCCTGTACTAATTACAGTGGCAAACAGTGGAAATTTTAAGTGTAGGGGATCATTCATTGATGTTCTGTGAGTTTGAGAGGTTTAATTGCTTGAATCTTAAGGGAAAGAAAAAATCTGGAGACTCTTGTATGGCATTTTCCCTGGGAAGGTTTTTTTTTTGGTATTCCTAGAGTGAAGTGCTTTGTATGTCCTTTCTATAACTGGGACACTGTGTGGCTGCTAACTTCTGCAGTCTGCCTTTCTACACTGTGCAGATGTTTGATGCTGTAATCTCCCTTGCATGCACACTTGAAGTGTTTACTTGTTGGCTATACCATGACAAGAATTTCCCTATAAACTGAGATAGTAAAAGCCTTTCTTCAGTTTAGGGGAGGTAAAACACCTGCCTTCTTCCCACAATAGGAAAAAGTTGAATAAATGTTCTTGATTTGGTGTTGCAGCCTGTTGTAGGCAGATGTTTAGGGAAGAAAGAGACGTATCCTTTGTCCACAAGACAGGTTTCCACTGTTAACTTGAATATCCGAAATCTGTGATGTCACTGAAGACTCTTCTGGTTTTTATTCTCTCAGACAGAATCGTAGGATCATAGAATGGTTTGGCTTGGAAAGGACCTTCAAAGGTCATCTAATCCAACACCACCCCACCCCACCCGCTGTGAGCAGGGACATCTTCAGCTTTATTGTGTTGCTCAGAACCAGGACCTGTCTGCCTATTTTCTATAGATGCCCTTTAAAGAAATGAGATTATTCAAGTATAATCCCATGGGATGGAGGACATCTAAGATTTTGGAAGAGCAGTGTTCCTAAGGTGCATGGAGTTTTGAAGATACCCTTCCACATACAGCTGAGAAGGGTAACCTGACCTGAACAGAGTAATATTTATATCTAATGAGGCTCACAGAGTTTAGATTTTCTTCAAGCTATTTTTCCAGGATCTCAGCTTCAAATAATTTACAAAACTGACAGCAGACTTTGCAGCTGAAACAAAACTGAGGGAAGTGACCAGAGGTTAGAAATTTTTCATTTTGCCAATAGTACATGCTGGGTCCAGAATCTGTTTTAGTGTGGACACATCTTTCCTAGAAAGCATGAGAATGTGCATATGCATCTGTTGCTGCATTTGGTATTTCAGTTTTTGCACTAAATTTCGTGGTTCATGGAAGGGAGCTTTTAATTTGGGTAAATTATGGAGTTCATAGTTCTGAAAAGATTATGCTTAATAACTTGTCATTTTTCTGTTCTGTAATGGATTAGCATTTTTGCACAGAGCATCTGTTCATTTCCTATTTTCTTGCAAGGTGCAAGAGAGAAGGGAGTCAGGGAATGGGTTCTGGTGTTTCCTAACTTAGTTAATGAATGGCTGAGGAGATTCTGACCCTTTCTCCTCCACCATGGAACTGCCTGTTGCACAGCTTCATAGAACTTCTCAAGTTGGAGACTCAGAAATCTGTTTCTGTTTCCTCTGCTGCCATCTTAAGTCTTCGTAGGGCTTCCTTCCGATGAAAATAGCTGGAATTTATTTCTCTTGAAATAGCACAATCTGTAAAATCTGCCAAATATGCAAATTCAGTTAATTTATTGATTTTGTTTTGATTTATTGATTCTCATGTTTTTACAATTCATGGTAAAAATGTGGCATGATAGCATACTTCCCGTATGTCAGGTTTTTGTGTCTCAAAATCTGGAATTGTGTCTTAAGAAAGCAACAGCGCTAGGGGATGGAGGTATTTTCTGTTATGAAATACATTTCTATGTTTAGAATGTAATTTAGGGACTTTCTAAAAGTAAGTATGCGCTCTCTATGTTGACCATGTTCTTCATGTATGTGTGTACATCACTCTCTGGGTTGTGGGGAGAGAAAGCAGAAGGTCTGTTATTGTTGCATGATAACTCTTGCATGATTCATCACTAGGATTAGAGTCTGTGAAATACAGCCAAGATGGGGTGTGTTGGAGTTTGCAGATCTGTTAATAGAATGTGAAACCGTGGTTCTACTTGGAAAACGGAAAGGAAAAAAAAAGCCAAAGTTTAATCATTACTGACCTTTATAGTGCAATCTTTATCATAGTTTTTCTTCTGATGCTCATTTGACTTCATAGGATTCTATTTGGGGTAGTTAATGTACTTTCTTACAGAGCGAGAAAGGTTTCTGTTCAGACTGGTTTCATAATGGAATCAGCACACAATCTCACAGTTCAGCTGTTCCTTCTATGTGTTCCATCCATTTCCTATTATGTACAGTAAATGGGAATGACAGGGAGTCACGCCAGTTTAGTACAGAATGGTGCTGCCTATTTAATCAATGCAGGAAACTTCCCATATTGCTGTGTTTTCACTGAACACCTAATCTTCTCTCTCTTGCTCTCCTCTCACTCTATAATGTGCACATTCTTCTTAGCAGCACCTGCTGCTACTCAGATGTTCCTGAGTGAGTGCACCCACGTTCTGGAGATCTGGGGGATATGTAGGTGGTAGGGAGCTTCTGCAAAAACAGTGTGGATATTTCAGGAAGCCACCACTTCAGCCATCTTTACGTGCTGCTCCCATGCTAATTGCTGATGAGCTGAGTGAATTTGTGACATAGTCCCCACCCCCTGGGGTTTGGTTTTGCTTTTGCTAGCTGCGCTGTCTGGCCAGTGGGCTATTCACTGCAGGTATTTTCCCTGTCCTTGTCATCTTCCCTTGTATTTAGCAGTCCTATGGCATCATCACCCAGCAGCTTCTCCTGTCCCATTCATTTTTCTGCTCCTTTTGGAACAGCCACCTTCTCTTGAATATGTCTTCTGTCTTCTCTTAAAAATGCATCTTCCAGTTTAAGATATATTATAGGAGCCCACTTCAGGTGAAATACAGTAAAAGAATACAATATAGTGTGAAATAAAGGCTCAGCTGGTTGCAGAGGAAAGCAAAAAGAGCCATGGAGGGCAACTGCTCCTTGTTGCCGTTGTTGTTTCTGGGATCTCTAAATGCTGGAACTGCTTCAGCTTACTGGAAATTCTTTGAATAGCTGAATTTTAGACTTGCCTACTTAAGATAGTGTTAAGCTAGTTTATGATCATGTGAATTAGCTCAAAAGTAATGGTAATATGAACATGTTTTAAATATTTTTTTTTCAGAATTGCCAAAACAGGTTGATTTTTTTTGTGTATTTTTCCATTCTTCATTGCTTTTTTGTATACAAAGAAACTTTACACAAAGGAATCTCTTTTTCTACAGTGTGTTAGTATGAATTAAAGAGTCAGCATCAAAAGCTTTGACAAATTATAGTTATGTGAAAACAAACTTTAATGCAGGAAGACTTCAACAGTAGTCTTGTGTGTGCATGCTTTAAGATGGTACTTAATAGGTAGGACCATTAAATTACCTTTGTAAAACTCTTGTAACACTACTTGGGTGCATATGAATTTTTTTTATCTGTTAAATCTCATCTACAGTTTAAAAGCTGGTGTTATTTCAGTATCAGGGAATAAACAGATTCCTTTTTAAAATGCAGAAAATGCAGCAGAGGAGAAATAATGCAAATTGGCATTTAACAAACAGAATTTTTAAATCCTTACTTTTTTATTTCTGTCTGCTTTTTATTGTACCAGATTATTCTATTATGTAAAAAAAGTCTGAAATGGTGGAAATTTCTGTTCAAGAATCAAAACTTGTCTCAAAAACTTATATTCTTGTTGGCTTTGGACCATGCAGAGTTGTGAGTGCATAGCTGATGTATTTTGAAGCTTGCTTGCAAGTATTTAGGGGCTACAGTAAAGTTTTACTACTTAAGTACAACTGCTTTTTAATTTTGCCCAGAATGAAAGATGATGCATCTTCCAGCAAGTATAAAAAAAACATTTTTCAAAAACAACTAAGACTCCAATAGTAGTTACATTTTTGCTCAAAAAAAAAAAAAAAGCCCAAACAAACATGGGGGAAGGAGATGTCTCCTGAGGGAAGAATAGGGGCTTTATACCTTCGTGCAATGGGTACTACATCACAGTAAGTTTGCCAGATGTTGCTGTTATGAAAGTTTCTCGTGGGTTCAAGGGATGAGAAGTCTGGTGAGGGTGGATATGTAAAAAAATACAAATGCAGAATGCATACATACAAATAGGATCTGGTTCAGAAAATCCATTAGAACAGCGTGAGACTGGAAAGGCAATACAGGAAAAGTAGCATGTATGCCTCAGTTTTGTTCTCCT